CCAATAAGATTATTGGGAAATGATTTTGGATGTATGCATATTAGAGGATGCGTTCCAGATATTGTTTGAAATGTATCTTTAGAGGTAAACCAATTCTAAGCAGCTATTCAACTTTGCTAAGCTTATACACAAGTATGTGGTGAGATGCATTTTACAACATGGATTAAACCTTTAACAAAAAAAGGGAAGGTATCCTATAGATAGATTTATTTTTTCTCCACTAGACGCACAGTGCAGACAGTGTACATACATATGTATGTGTAAATGGTTGTATATGGACCTGCATTAACAGCATTGACTGAGTCGCTAAACGAGTTAGCCGCGGAGCCGGCGGAGACAGAGGCGGCGATTCTTCAGCGGAGGCCTAGGGGCTCGCAAAGGGAACGAGAAGCGTGGAGAAACAGTGGGCATAGATGGAGAGGGAGAGAACCAGAGAATCGCAAGCACACCAACACAATATCATATGTACATATGTATATGTATGTAAATGGAGGGAGAAACAGCAGCTAAACAAACAGCAAGAACGAAACTACAGCAACAAAAATAACAATAATGGAAAAGAAAAGCGAAACAACAACGACAACGGCGTCTGCTTGTCCCAGTCGCTTTGTTTTTTGTTCTTACGCTTTGCCAGCTCTTTCGGGGCTTGAGCCGAAGCAGACGATGAAAACAAAAAAGCATATGAAAAACAGAATAGGCAAATCGAGGAAGAGAGCCGGAATATGTTTATATGTACATATGTATGTACATGTATAAATGTACATAAGTAAGAGGCATAAAAGATATGGAGAAGACTGAAGCTCTTCTGTTGATTTACGGCTTTTTAGCTGCAACTTACCGGAGCTGAACACAAATACTGTTTACATTCGCCACTTTGTTTTATGCGTTTCTACATTGCACTCTCACTCACACGCACATTCGCACACACGGACAGAACATTTAGTTGCAATTATCGCGAATATTTTAATAGTTTTTGTCACACCGAGTTTATAACCCACAGCAAAGGGGTCAAAATGTATTAAAACTAAGAACTTTTTTTACTTCGACAGATTGGTTTTTAATTGATTTCCACTTTTAGCGTTTGCCGCGCACGCTAGCTTGTCAACAATCCGTTTTCCGCCGAGCCAAACTGCACACTCGCAAACTCCAAGAACGACTGAGACCCACTGATTTCGCCCTCGATGCTGGTGCTTTGGGGCTGGCGTCGCACACTGGGGCAACTATACGAGTTCCGCGACAAAAAAGATAAAAAGTTGAATATAACATAAAGCAAAAAAATTAACTTGTTAAACAAAATATTATGATCTGATTTTAAACGTATATTTTATGATACTCACCTTTATTTTATTTTTTATGTAAATAAATATGAAACCACCTAGCATATAATGGCACTACGCACTGCTTACATAAAAGTCGATAAGACAGTGGCCACCTGATTGAAAAGCTGCCAAGCTACATGTAGCACATTTGACCCAATGCGTGCATGCGGTCCTGTGGCGCAATGGATAACGCGTCTGACTACGGATCAGAAGATTCCAGGTTCGACTCCTGGCAGGATCGAGTTTTTTTTTAATTGTTATTATTCCTTTTTTTGGTATTAAGTATAATAAGTGCTTCCGAATATTCTTAAAAAATTAGAAATATTTCTTTAAGCTATAAAATATGGAAATTATATCTAATTCGAAAGTATGTAGGGAAAACTCGGCATTTTGACGCAATGAAATCATGTGGTCCTGTGGCGCAATGGATAACGCGTCTGACTACGGATCAGAAGATTCCAGGTTCGACTCCTGGCAGGATCGATTTTTTTTTTATTTATTTTTTTTTTGTTCAAAATAAATGTTTTTCTTACAATGAAGGTTTTTATTTTATCTGTCTATTTATTTATAAATACCTTGGCGTTACCATGGACCGTAAACTTACATTCGGCAGACATGTTGCGAATATTCAGCATGCTTTTAAGGCTTTTAAGGTTTCCCAGATGGCATGGCTCCTTGCACCCCGCAACAAACTATCGCTTTACTTCAAGGTCATGATATATAAGTCAATTCTAGCCCCCTCCCTGTTTTATGGCCTTCAAGTTTATGGAATTGCTGCAAGATGTCATTTGAACAAGATTCGAATTCTTCAAGCAAAAACGTTAAGGAGGATTTCTGGGGCTCCTTGGTATATGCGGACTAGAGATACTGAACGAGACCTGAAGGTGCCCAAACTTGGCGACAAACTTCACACTATTTCAACTAAGTACATGGAAAAACTAAACAATCACCTAATAGTCTGGCTAGAAGATTAGCCACCTCTAAACACAGAACACGAGTCAGAAGAGGACTTAAACGTCACCACCCTCAAGACCTCCCTGACAGGGTCGTGACATAGCATTTCAGACAAAACATGAAAATAAATCATTTCAAATTATGTAAACTTAATACTCCTCCATAACTCAGCATTGTAAACTTAGAATTTACTTCGAATTAGGTTTAGTTGCGAAATATTTAGGAACCGGTGCACTAGTCTAATAAAACTTCATTATTTTTTCTTACAACAAAAAAAAAATATCTCTCTACTTAAAAAAAATTAATTTCGCCCAACGTGGGGCTCGAACCCACGACCCTGAGATTAAGAGTCTCATGCTCTACCGACTGAGCTAGCCGGGCACATGTGCAAAGCCAGTCAAATTACAGTGTAGGGTTAGGGACCATAACTCGCCCATTGTAGGTCGAGCTTTTTGTATGTAACAAAACTTAAACGCCACAATAAGTTTTTCTATTTTAAATTGATAATTTAGAAATGATGTACTAATAGATAAAAAAGTCACAATTTTCCATTTATTGTTTAAATAGTCATATTCTTTGCCCATTTTCAGCAATAGCTTCATCTACAAAAGCACGTAGAACATTACGATTATTGAGCGCATGAGGAAACAACGGTCCTGTGGCGCAATGGATAACGCGTCTGACTACGGATCAGAAGATTCCAGGTTCGACTCCTGGCAGGATCGAATTTTTTTTTTTTTTATTTCCAGAAATTTAACAGAAGTTTTTTACCCTAACAACTAGCAAATTATCCCATCCTTCGATTAAAAGACATAATCGATCGGGTTTATTTAAAAATACTTTAAAAAATGACAAGGTTTCCCAAAATTACAATATAAAGTTACTGATAATATAAAAATTATAATGATTCAATTTGTTATATGTATTTAGATTTTCACAATCTAGAAACAGAACTGCCCTTGCTTTTAGGAATGGGAATATTAAAAATCAATCGATTCGATATATGTAACGTTCTTTTTTAAATTCGAAATAAATTAATATATATATGTATATGTATGTATCTATCTGTATATTATATTCTGAAGTGATAACAAACAACGAAATAATTTCACATTTTTACTTCATTTACCTAAAAAATTTTTAATTTTACCTTTTCCTATACATTTTAAGATTGATTTTATATAAGCTTTAAGATAGAGTCGTCCGAAATTGATAAAATTAAAACAATTTTTTAAAATGGTAAACAATCATTTTATTTTAAGTTATTATAATTGATCCTTAGCTGACTGATTTTCAAATAAATATAAAATTCAAGAATAATCTCAAAGTAGCTCAAAATTTATTGAAAAATACGGATTTTTTTCGTTACTCTTTCCTATGTTAATTATATAATATCAAAGAGTATAGAACTATACAAGCGTACGGCATGCAAAGAATTGAAGGCGCTCTCTATAAAGTTCTAAAGTTTTTGGAAAAATATCTATATATATTATAATTAGATTAGTTTACGTATAAACGACCAGACGGACATGTCTAAATCAACTTGCTTTATGCTGATCAAGAATATATGTGGGTAATTTAAATTTAAATTAAAAATAATAGAAAAAAATCGATCCTGCCAGGAGTCGAACCTGGAATCTTCTGATCCGTAGTCAGACGCGTTATCCATTGCGCCACAGGACCGTTGAAATTGGGGCTCCCTAAGCCCTATGTTAGCTATTGAAGCCCCATAAAACGATATAGTTCTTCAGAATCGTCAGTTTATTTATAGATAAACAATGTACATTTTCGAACAAGACACTTGAGTTGACACAACCAGTTTTCTTGATCATCATATTGTTGTTCAATGGGGCAGAACGATTTTCCCTTCACTCGACCGTAAAATTCTAAGCTATCGAACATTGTTTACCAACAATCATTATTGCGTGTTGCTTGCCGGCATTCAACGAACTGGTCAAGAGGCAAACCTGTTATCAAAATAAATTAAGTATATCGCTGATAACACACGCTAGCAGATTTTCGATCTACTCTGTGCTCTCTCAGTAGTGGCCAGGGTGTTTCCTCAAAGCTTGGACAGACTACCAGCGCACGCTGACTCGATCAAACGGAATCAGAGTTCCCATCGACTCCGAGTCGCAATTCATTCAGTTTTTTTGCATAGTCACGGGGCCTAAGCAAAACAGTGTTTGGCAAAATTCGCCTAGTTAAACATTAAATGGCATTTTAAACACCCTTATCAGGGGAAAAGTGTGTACACTTGAAAAAAAGTTAATAGTTGAGTTAAATAAATAGAATTTTCAGTGCGTTTGAAAATGAATGCCTGAACTATGTTCATATAATTTAAGTCTAGGAATATGTTATACTTTTTCCTTCCAACCCGCTGGCGAGAGCTCTGCCAGCTGCGAGAGGAAGACGACGACTTAGGAGAGTCATCATACGGGAGCTGCCCACCCGGCGAATAACCTAGTTAAATATTTTTTTGAATTGTTTCCTCTGCTACATATTATTGGACCAATGATTTAATAGTAGATATTAAGCTTAATGCAGCAAAGCTTTTAAAACCAATAAATATTATGCGAAAAAAAAAAAAAAAAAAAAAAAAAAAAATACTTTTTCCTTGAGTGTTGATAAGAGTCTTAGAGCATCTGAGCTTTGGCTTTACCCTATATACTGTTGATATCAGAAAAGCTTCGAGCGATCACTTAAAAGCACCTGGTGGGTAGACGAGTCTAACAGTGGCTCCCGGCAGTCGAAGCTTCTACCATGTCGATCGAGCTCCTTTTCCTGCTCGCCACCTTGGCGATCGTGTTCTACATCTGGCAGAGGCGAGCTTTCAGTTTCTGGCAGAGTCGCGGGGTGAAGTTTATTCGCCCGGTACCCCTTTTGGGCTGCACCAGCCAGCTCTTGACCGGACGTACATCATTTTTAGAGCAAATCAAAAAGTTTCACGAGGCCCCGGGCTACGAGAATGAGCCCTTTGTGGGCGTCTATCTGGCCTATCGTCCGGCTTTAGTGATTCGCGATCTGGACTTGATCAAGACGGTAATGGTGAAGAAGTTCCAGTACTTTAACAATCGAGTGCTTCAAACGGATCCCCACAATGATGCCCTGGGCTTTAACAACCTATTCTTTGCCCGCAGTCCGGCATGGAAGGAGTTAAGGAACAAGCTCTCACCAGTATTTACCTCTGGAAAGATTAAGCAGATGTATCCGCTTATGGTGAAGGTAAGATTATATCTTAAGAACGATAAATGTATTTGATTATTAACAATATCTTACCCTTAGATTGGCAAAAACCTGGAGGACAGCGCCGACCGCCTGGGCAGCGGCTCAGTGGTCCAAATCAAGGATCTGTGCGCCCGCTTTACCACTGACCTGATCGCCACTATTGCCTTCGGGCTGGAGGCCAATGCTCTGCAGATCCCCAAGAGTGAGTTTTTCCATCACAACAAGGCAGTCTTTGCGGTCAGCCTGAGCCGAGCCATTGACTTTGCCATCATCTTCATGCTGCCGGCCTTTGCGTCACTGGCCCGCGTGAAGGTCTTCTCCAAGGATACCACCAAGTTCATCCGTAGCAGCATCAACTTTGTGCTAGCCGAGAGAGAGCGCACGGGGCTGAAGCGGAACGATCTTATTGACATCCTGCTGGCCTGGAGAAAGGAGGCGGCTGCCAATCCAGAGAAGAAGCATGCGGCCAATGACTTGGATTACCTAGTGGCCCAGGCAGCCATCTTTCAGACAGCCGGTTATGAGACAAGCTCCTCCACAATGACGCTGACCCTGTATGAGCTAGCCCAGAAGGAGGAGCTGCAGGATCGCCTCCGACAGGAGATTGCAGACTTCTTCGGCGATGAGGACCATATCAGCTACGAACGCATCCAGGAAATGCCCTACCTATCGCAGGTGGTCAACGAGACGCTGCGCATGTACCCAATTGTGGGCTACGCGGAGCGTGAGTGCTCTCAGCCCGTGGAGGGCGAAAAGTTCACCCTCAGTCCCTACAGCAACTTGGAGTTGCCGCACGGCATGCCTGTCTACGTGTCCGCCTTGGCCATTCATCGCGACCCGAAGTATTGGCCAGAGCCGGATAAGTTTGACCCGGAACGCTTTGCTCCCGAGAATCGGGACAACATTAACATGGATGCCTATATGCCCTTCGGCGTGGGTCCGCGCAACTGCATCGGCATGCGTTTGGGTCTTCTTCAGTCTAAGCTGGGCCTTGTGCACCTGTTGCGCAAGCACCGAGTCCACACCTGCGACCAGACCACCAAGACGATTGAGTTGGCCGCCATCAGTCCGGTGATTGCCTCGAAGAATGACATTGCCCTGCGCCTGGAAAAGGTTTCGGGGTAATGATTTGATTTGAATTTAATGAAATAGATCAATTCTAAATATTGTTGTTATTAAAACAAAAAAATTTGTTATCCAAAGAATGAAAGGGATATTCATGTGTTTTTTTTTTTTGTAAATCTTCTTGACTTTATATCTATAACCAGCTTTGTGTTTACACAACCACTTAACCTCCCAAAGATGCGGTTAGCTTCATTCGTGTGACAAGCCAAGGACACCCCGTGAACAATTATCCTTGAAGGAAAATGTCATAATGGCAGCAGCAGCACGCTGGAAACTGCATCACACAGCAGTTACACCACAAAAAGTTTTGCTTGCTCGACGGCTGTGTTGGGTCCAGAGCTCGGAGTCCTTGTTAGGGCCATGTAGCAACTTGTTGTTGTCCCCTCACAAGCACACTTGTCCTCAAGCACACACTCATTCCCATTCTGAGTGAAGCACTTAGCGCATTTAATGCGATTGTCAATTTACTCAGACCTCGTTGAGGAGGAAGTTTTGGGGGGGGGATTGCTGTCGAGGAGGGCGAGGAGGTGGCGCCTAATGACCGGTTGCAGCCGAGGCATGGATAGCTAATTATTCAGAGCTTAGGCTAATATCGTTCTTAAACTGGTTTGTAAGGTATACATTTCATATATTATATGTCTTTTATGAAGATTGAGATTAGTATTTTCTTATTATTAAACAACCGATATTGCCTTTCTAAACGGTAGAAAGCTTAACTTATCAACCGACAGAAGAAGACATATTACACCTCTTAAAACATATCAATTTTTGATCATCATCACCAGTCGAGTGAATTTAGCTATTTCTGATTGACCGTTCCTTATGAAACAACAGAGGTTATATAAGTTCAAGAAATAACATTCCTTTCTGTGATCAGCGTTCAAGATCAAATTTCATTTTAAAATTTACTATGGTCACTTCTTTCCTTAAATATCATTAAAAACCTTAATTAAGCTAAGTGATTTCGGTGTAAACTTTATTGATGTGAAATAAAAGTAAAGCTGCGGTTGTTTTTCTGAACATTTGAGAAAGAACGTATAATTAACATGGAAGTTATTAGATCTTTTAGATTACTTCTCCAACATTTATATTATATTTATAAAAGGATTTGGTCAACATGTTTCTAGCCACAAATGTCTTTATTTGGATGCTGGGCAACATGTTCCTAGCTACATTTGAATTCATTTGCCAAAATTTTCTTTTGTCTTTCGAGCTGTTTAATTTTAAGTTTTATTTTGTTTTGTTTAATTGAAAAATGTTCTAATTGTTTTATACCTAAATCTATGTAACACATCGAAGAAGTCCTTTAGGAACATAGCACAACGAGTTGTCTTAAAGAACTTTTCACTCACGTTAACCATGGAAATCTTTCAGTCACGTTCAACTTTCACATACGAGAGATGCAACATTTTCGTGAAACGCAACGTGTACTAAACTGACATCAAATTTAATGATAAACTGCAGTTAAGCCAATTTACAGTTGACTTGTTTTAAGGGTGATACTGCCAGTGCAACTGCCACTGCCAGGGGCACTGGCAAATGCGTGGCACGCAATGTAGTGACTTTGGACTGACCTTCGTGGCGGATTTGCAAGCGACTTCCCTACCCCTCCCTGCGGCATATCGGAAAATCGCGTGCTACTTTTTTTTTATGCGAGAGTATTGCATAACTTTTGCCACCTTTCTGCGGGAGTGGCTTTCCCTTCCGATTGAATTGCAGCTCATCCAAGAACGAATCGAACAAGGAAAGCCACTCAGCTGGGTAGAGAGATTCACCTGCTGCTGCCACTGACAGTCTTTGCTGACTTGGTTGGCCATTAGTTTTAATTAGGCATCGGATAAATGTCTTCTTGCCAGATTACCCTAGGATCCGGCATCATAACGAAACTAAAAGCTGGTATAAAGAGCTCGCCTTGAGCCGGAAATTGCATGCAAATCGACATAAAATTAATAAACTCGAAAATTGCTTAGTTTTTCCCCCCTTTTGTTGCTGGTCTTCTAATTAGCTGGAAACTTTTTACCCCTCGGTATCCTTGTACTTTATCAGGAATTTGTTAATTAAGGAACTGGGCAACAGCTCTGATGGGGACATTTGGCTAAGATAGAGGAAGAAACGAGATGTGACACTGATTTGTCGGTAGCGGAGATGAGTGGGTTGAAAAAAATGTTAGTATATCGGTCATTCTACAAGGAAATTAGTTTATAAAAAAATTTAATTTAATATAATAAATATTTTTACTTAAAATCGCCCTAAGAAAATTCCGCTTTTCGTCCGTATTATTTAGGAATTCTTGAATAAATAATATGAATATGAAACAACATTTCTTTATAATTACTTTTCATACTCTTAGAACGGTTTTTTGTTTAAATTTAGGGCTAACTTGACCATTTATTTAATTGTTAATAATTATAAATAATAATAAAATAAGACATTATAGTTTATTTTATAAAAATAACACATATTATAGTACAAACATTTATCCCCACGTGCTAGCCAAGGATGTTAGAACTAGTTGGGAGTGCAGACGTCTGAAATTTGCATTTTTGAAAAATTTTAATTGTAAAATATATATTCTTTTAAATAATAAATTAAATAAACTTAATGAAAGTAGTTAAATCTTTTCTTTTTAATCTTACTAAGCAGTCAGAACTTTCAAAAAGGACAAGTTGAGGGTCCTTAAGATGTATTTGCTCGCCATAAAACAAAGCTAAACGTTTGACGACCTTCGTTTTACGTGCTGAGAAAATTTCCAACCGTTGCCCTCGTCCAGGACAAAGAGATAAATTAATTTGACGAAGGAGCAGGGACATTCAATGGCCTTAGCCAAGGAACCTTCTGCGTAACTTCCTGCTGTCGGGAAGGGGTCCTTTACTCTCAGCTTCTGCATCAGCTATCCAATTTAATTGCAATTTTTCCTTGCCACTGACCAAAGACAAATAACCAATGCAAATAGATCATGTCATTGTGTCAACAAGTTTAACAATTTAATTGGAAGAAGCGGGGACTAGTCCATTTGTGGCAAACATTGAAGATGGTATAGCTTTTTATAGCTTCATATATATAAGACTTTTGGGTAAAATGAATGAGAATTAAAAAATATGTATTATATTTAAAGTATTAGACTAATGTACATTAACAATATTATTCAGAAGCGAAAACGGTTGCTACCAAATTATACGAAGCCCTGACCCTGCATGGAGCTGTCACCGAAGTACCCAAGGATAATATGGATGAGATCCTAAAAATGCTTTCCGAGACCGGTGGAGGTGCGTCCCCAGTGGAATCAATTGTGCCCGCTAATGGGCTTCAAGGCGCCGGTAAGTGCTGCTCAGCAGCAGCAGGCAGCGAGTGCGGATAAGTGATATTCCACACAAACAATAGTAGTAATGTAATATTTATGAACTTACTTATATCCGATCTAACATGACATTTTGCTGTTTTCTTTTTGGCTTAAATTTGTTTCTTTTGAATGGAAAAATTTTGTGGCTACGCGGAAGGTCCTTATGAGGACCGCTTCGCATTTTTCTGGCTGGGACTTATGTACGACTGATAGTAAAACTTGGAGAACATCACAGTCAAGGCCGAGTACAGGAATCCAAAGGCATAGATCCCTGGTCGTGGAGCTTTGCAGTCGCTCTGCATAAGCATGTCGATCATATGGAGCATGATTAAAGCGAACTGGATGAGCTGGATCGTGGTGATGTACTTCTTCCACCAGAGGCTCGCCTTCTGAACTTCCGGGCTTATGGAGGACAGGAGGTAATAAGTGTACATACACGCGTGTACAATCAGATTAAGGACAACCATCCAGGCCACAAGTCCCCCATGATCATACAGGGTCTGGGTGAGGTAAGAGGCCAGGATCACTGCCACATGGTGGAAGACGTGCAGGAAGGATATCTGTCTGCTCTTCTTGCGCAGCACAAAGAACACCGTTTCCACCAGATCTAAGTACTTGTTGATGTAGTACGCGTTGGCAAAAAGTCGCTCTATATCTTTGCCCTCATGGTCCCAGGGTAGGGATAAGGGGCACCTCCAGTCGTAGAAATTATAGACGACATAGCACACCTGTAATTAATTATTTATATGATTGATGCGATGGATGTCCTGACGCAAGTCCTGTCCCTTCTACTACACTTACTAATACGAACAACGCACTATTGTAGACGATTTGGATGATGTTATAAGCCTTGATCACGCCGCGCAGTTCAAAGGGCTTTCGACTGTCCATGAGCTTGGGACCCAACTTTAGAACGAACAGCAGATAGGCTGCCAGCGCTCCAAGGGTGGGCCAGGGACTCCTGAAGAAAGCCAACCGAATTGGATCTGTTGAAGTCATCTTTCTAGGCTCCTTTCTCCGATAAGGTTCGTCGGCGACTAATCAAATGTCAATCATCGCGGCTTGGTTAATATAGCGTAATCGATTCAAAAGGCCATCAATTGGAATACATATCTATGCAAATGAATGCAGTGTTACTTTTTTACAAGAAATCTAGGAAGTGAAGCGTTCTGTCGAAATATAATGCAAAATGCAGTGACATCAAGCACCAACTGAAAAGACGTAGTAATGAAACTGAATTGCTAATTTAAATCGTTTGTTTACATTTTAAGCTTGTTTACAAAGTTTGAATATTGCATTTATAACCCAGCAGACAGAAACTTCGTTTATGATATTAAAAAAGATCGTTTTGCGGATTTCAGGCGAACATAATTTCCGATTCAGACTTATAAACGTTAATAACGTCATGGGTTTTGTGGCAGAAAAATGCTCCCATTTTCGGAACCCGAATAAGATTTCAATTGGTTAAAGGGTATAGCAATTTCCTTATATTTATTTTAAAATTGTTTTTATTTACAGTTTTTTTACATTACAAAGGTTTGCGAAGGTTAAGAGTTTGGGCTATAATTCTACCTTAACTATGGTACTTAAATATTATTGTGATTTGTTTATAAATTTAAACAAATTACAAATGTTTTTAGATAATTTCAACACTTTTGAACTTCCTTAAAATTAATATTGAAACGATATTTCTTAACTTCTTATGAATAATATGTCTCTTTCTGGTCTACTACATTTTCTCTTGATCTTTTTATAGATGATAGCATATAAACAAAAGCTGTATCTACATACATATATGTATGTTTTTTGTATGTTCTTGGTTACCTTAAACCACCAATTGAGCAGTTGGGAAACGATCGCAACATTGCCCGGCTAGCTCAGTCGGTAGAGCATGAGACTCTTAATCTCAGGGTCGTGGGTTCGAGCCCCACGTTGGGCGAAGATAACTTTTTTATTTTTTATGGATAATTTTAAAACAAATAATTTATTATTATTTTTACAACTTATTTACTGTTTTACTTTTTATTAAGTACAGATTAAATGGAAATTTTAATTTACTTCACATGATGTTTGTTAATTTATATTTTCTAGTACTTGTAAAACTTGTATAAAAATAAAATCAATTTGATTTAACACTCAAGGTGTTACTTTTCGTAAAAATAAGAGTTGGGTTTTAAAATTTCCCCCTCTCTAATCGTGTATATTTTCTTTAGCTTGAACCGGCTTTATCACTATTTACTAAACCGAGCAATAAATCCACTGAAAGGTAAATTTATAAACAGTGAATCAGTGTAATAGTAATTGAATACGGGAATTTGGCACCTTTGAAATGTATTTACATAATAAGGTTGGTGTGATTTTATATTTTTCAAGTGTTGTACTCTTTAACCATCAATGGAAAATGATCTCTTGCCCCTTGACATAAATGACCTTGTCCGCAACGTGAGTCTTTTATGCGTTTTGCAGCATGGGCAAATGCAAATGCGAATCAGAATGGAAAGCCATTCCCAGAAATCATATTACGCACACGCCCTCGGAACGCCACACTTGCCACAATGCAGCAGCCATTTCGGATTCCTCCATGTCATTTTCCTTCCCCTCACTTCCGGCCAGAAGGGAACGGGAATCCAGCGATCTGTGTTTGCACATTTCGCCGCTGTTCAATCCCAGCGGGACTCGTAAACACTTGGCCAAGACATGCACACACATAAACACAAAGGGGACAAGGAAATGCGCACTGAGATTGAGTGGGGAAAAGTTGGACTAGGGTTCCGTTCCGCTTTGGCAATTGGCAATCCTTGACCCGTCATAACGTCTCTGTCTCCCCCCGTCAGCTGACAGCAGAGTTAAATGAGATATGCTTTTCTACATTTTTTCGATAAATTTCCAAAGCTTGCATTTGGGGTGGGGTGGGGCGGTGCTGGGTTGGAGATGGCATTATTAGCGGGCGAAAACTTTAACATAAAAATGGCAAACGGATTTGCGCAGCGCTTAAAATGGAGATTTACTGGAGAGCAATATTTATGGCAAGGGGCAAAACAGTAAAGTGCGCTGAACCAATTTAAGGAAAGTACTTAGTTCTGGCCAGATTCCGTTGCTTATCTGGTGACATTGATGAATGAATGCCCCGGGGCAATTAGTACTTACTCTCGTAGTTTTGGGCTATATAAAGGGTGCTGCCTTCTGGGATTCAACAAAGCAAAACAAGATGCGTTCCCTTCTTCTGGTCTCCCTATTCATTGGCCTGGCCTGGGCTCTCCCGGAACTGGATGTCTCGCCAACGAGTCCTGCCCCTGGCAATGATACCTCCGAGGAGGAACTCATTCCTGCTTTTTCGCCCTTCAGCCGAACTGATGGCCGTTTTGCCTTGGGCACCTTTGCCCAGGTGAACTGGTTCCAGGCGCAGGCGAATTGCGCCGCCTTTGGCTATACCCTGGTCAGCATCACCTCGGAGTCGGATCAGCGCAGTCTGCGCAGTTTCCTTTACACCGTTGCCCGGGATCAGCAGGAGCTGCTGAGGGATCCTCTGTGGACGTCTGGCACTGACCTGGCCAACACTGACACCTGGGTGTGGTTCAGCAAGGGACGAGCCGTCAACTATCGCAACTTCCAGAACGGCCTGCCCGGTTACACCAGTGACGGCCGCCACTGCCTGGCCATCAACGGAATCAGCGGACTCTGGGTGAACGAGGAGTGCGGCCAGCAGCGTTTCTTTATCTGCGAGAAGCGTTGCCAGTTCGATGATGACGCCAACTTTTAGGGTTTTCTTTTCTTGATAAAATAAAATATCAAAGAATTAAGTGCAAGCAAATTGAATCGAATGGTTATTATTTTATTATTAATAGTTGTTGTTGTGGAAGGAAAAACCACTTGGGAATATGGTGCTTAGATTTGAATATTGTTGGAGGTTTGTCTGCTCCTGTTTAGAGGTTTTATTTTTCAAGCTTGTGTTTAGGAAACTATTTATTTCCAACTTAACAAATGCTCAAAAAGGAATAATCCAAATATTGTTTATTTTATTAACTACCGAATTAACCCTACTCCCAAAAAGTTTAAAAAGTAAAAGCTTAAAAGCCTGTGGTTAGTTCTAGCAGCCAGCTTTTGTTGGCCACAGTTAAAGCTTTTTTGTTAAGCTGCATTTTTAAGTTATATAGGAATAGGTACTAGAAATAATAATAAGATAATGAATAGGTTTTTAAAACAAAAATTTTCAACATATGTATTAGTATCATAATCAGTTTTCATAAAATTAAAAGAAATTGAAAAGGGAAATTGTAAGAAATTTGCCATATCTAAAATAGATTATATATTCTTTAGCAGCTATGTGAAACATTGCAGTACAAAGAAGACTAATGGCAAAGTATTTAAAGATGTATCTAGTATCTAGATCGAGTCATTCAGATAGTTTCACATTTTAAGCAGTTGTAATTCTGTGAGTTTAAATACCTTACTAACTACATATTCACCTGTTTTATATTGAATTTAAACTACACTTGCTTGCTGTTTCCTTTGTTGAAAACATTTTAATTATTTATATATTCACAATGGTTTACCTTAAGAATCTTTACTCAAGAAAACAGTCTCTCAATTTCAATTAGATATATACTTTTTTGTCTAACCCCGAGTAATCTAACATACAAATATTCTCGCATATGAAAAAGTTTTTCTCCGAGCAGTTAGCGCTGTGCCACATGTGATCACCACTGTCCAGGATCAGGCAAGCATCCTGGCCTCTTCGATTCGATTTGGGTTCCCTTTTAGCCCACTGTGCATAGGTCACAGGAATTCCGGTGCTGAGCCATGTCCAGGAATAAGATCGATACACGAGGTTTGTGGCACCCAGCCAGAATGTCATGTTGCCAAAATATTTTTCTATAGGAAGCGGAAGATTTATGCTAGGGTCATTAGGGTTTACATGTAATACCAAGATGAGTAACGACAAACTTAAAACTCTGTTGGGAGCAGAGAGAATTCAATTTTCTATTAAAATGTATTGTCGTTATGCATCTTGTTATAAAAGTCTTTGATCTCACCATTCCTAAACACATAGTCCAACATAAGCTGATGGTGTTCCTTGTTTCTAACTGTGGCCAAGACGGAACCAACTTGGTTACAGATATGGTTAGCTTCCAGCCAGGAAACCTAAAAGAATGTCATTTAACGTGCCAGCTTTTAAACGAGTCACAACTCACTTTTGCAAAACCAGCCAGTGAAAAATACGGCTCACAGTCCATTAAGGGATGACATTTTGGACTGAGAGTAAACTCCAATTCAGAGGAGTTATTAGAAGCAATAACCCACAAAGGCAGGCAGCAGACTATGACCAATATGAAAAACATACTGAACAGGGCTTCCTTCAAATACGAAAGCATTTATAGGGTCACAACAATGGGAAGACCCATTAAAAGAAGCTCAAAAAGCAATTAAGACTGCTTAAAAGTTATCAGAAGAAAAATGCACTCATTATTTCTAGGAAAATATAAAAGTTTTTATTCAATAGCAAAAAATTGTAAAACGCTTTACAAACATGTCCCAAATTTCTTACAGAACTAGGTAGTGGTAGCAGGTCGTGATTTGGCCATCCCTAACAGTTAATAGTCATTAAATATATCGTAATCAGAACATTCATTATTGACTCGCACTAAATCTAAATTAATTTAAATAAACAGTGGAATGGGGAACCCTAAGTCTCACTCAAGTAAACTACATTTAGCTAGATGTAGATGGTACCCTAAGATGTCTGACTCGAGCTCATCTCGATGAAATGTTTTGGGATAAATAAATCGAACTGGCGCTTAACGAACTAATCTTTTGATTTGTGGAGAGCTCACAGCGAGAAGAATTCTTCTTGGTCTGAACGCATTAATCCTTTTGTCTAGACGGGGGCAAGTACACAATGAAGAAGGTGAAGGCATATCCATTGGTTATAAAGGTTCTTTTGACTTAAATAGATCAACGTTTGACAAGACAGTTTGCTCAGCTTCCTAGCTCTCTCACCCACATTATATATGTATATCTAAACCCGGGCGGGTCAACTCTATGGGACTGACTTGGAGGAAACATTATTAGTTACTTAGAGTAGAAAACTGACCAATTTCCTAGCTATAAATTATTCAAAATTCTGTCTTTCTAAGGTGCAAATTCTACGCCCTTTCTAGTGAATCAAATTTCAGAAGACGTGACCCGCCCAGCTCTCTCTTAGCTAGCTTAATTCCTGTCACATGGCCCCGAGCAGAGCTCTCCAACTCCTTCCTCAGTGGTAGTAGTCACCGTACTGATAGGTGGGTGGCTGCTTCGAACCCTTCCCGTTCGGCTGGTAGAGGTTGTGGTGCGAGGAGGAGCGGTAGGCGAAGCTAGGCGTGGCAGTCTCTGGGCGGTGTTGGGCGGGGGATTGGGTACGGCGCGCTCTCCGCTCCTCGATGTTCGCTGGCCAGCGCTGGTGACGCGTGGTCGAGTCCTCCGAGGATCGTCGGCGGTGGTAGCGCTTTCCCGGCGGCACAGAGCCGACGGCAGGCGGTGGAGGAGTCCCGTGCTGTTGCCCGTAACTGCTGTCGTCGCCGCTGCCCATACTGAGCTGCTCTCTAGGTCGTTGCAGGCGCTCGTCTGCCGAAGAGTTTGGTGTTCCGTGGAGGTCAATGACGTCGCCATGAGAGTTGCGTCGCGCCCGCTGCATATCCATCTCCATATCCAAATGGTAGTTATCGTATGCACCTCGACGCTGTCCCTGACGGTGGCGCTGCTGCTGCTCATGGGCGTCCAGGCGCTGGCGCCACTCAGCCGCCGAGACCTGCTGGCCATAGAGATCGGGTTGGGCTTGGAACTGCGTGGCGCCTTGGGCACCGTAAATATTCTGGTAAGAGGAGCGCCGCCAGCCTTCTTCGTAGCGACGGCGTGGCGACTCCCGGATAACTGCCTCCTCCTCAGCGGCGGCGGCCTGCTGGTGACGGCGCTGCGATCGACTCGAGCTGCTCTCCGAGGAATCCTCACCGGAGGTGCCCAGGCCCAGGTCCTTCTCATCCACGCCGTATGCCTTATAGGGGGCTCCCAAGAAGCCCTTGGAGCTGTAGGGTCCGTTGATGCCCATGGTCGGGTACTGCATGTAGTAGGACTGCGAGAAAGGCTTCTCCAACTGTCGCTCGTCCAAACTGTCGTTCACCTCTTCGTCGCTGCCGTCATCCCTGCCCGTCCAGGTGAGGCAGGAACCAGGTCCAAAGAGCGAAAGCAAGACGGGCAGCAGGAAGAGACCATGCATGGCCCCGAAGAAGATCACCAGGAAGACCATCTTGAAGAAGACCAGGAAGATGTAGCTCTGGGCCAGGAGCAGGGCAACGATGCCGAGAATAGTGGAACTTGAGCCCTGGACAATCGGCAAGCCCAAAGAGTGGAGAGCCTCGCGAACCCGAGCCTTAGGATTACGCTTCTTCGAGGACATGTACGTGTAGCAGATGTGGGCGGTAAAGTCCACGGAAAAGCCAATGCACATGATCAGGTTTATCATCGAAATGGAGTCCAGGTTAACATCCCACAAGGCCATGTAGCCAGCCACGCCCAGCTCAATGGATATGACGGAGAAGGCGACCCACAAGGAGCACAAGATGTTGGGTATAAAGATAAACGAGATGATCATCATGATCACGGCTCCAATAACCATGGCCTGTAGCGAGACAGGACGCACCAGTTCGAACTGATCGAAGAACACAAAGTAGGGATGGAAGATGGAGGCGTTCAGCGGTGAGTCCTTGCAGATCTTGCGCAGATCCCGCACCATTTCCTTTTCGTGGTTAGTATCTGTGATGTTAACAGCTTGGATGAGGAACCGCGAGGCAATGATTTGGGTCTCATCATCATTAAAGCGCACATCCAGTGAGAAGGGATTGCCGGGAAACAGCCAGTGCTCCTTTACAGCCTCTATGAAGGTCTGCTCGTCGTCCACGGTCACATTGAGCAGCTCGTTGTTGCGATCCAGGAAAGAGAGGAACGAGCGCAGCCAGGACTCTGTGTAGCGTCTGGAGGTCACATAAGAGGTGTGCTCTAGGGTACTTGTAAGATTTTCCACCTGCTCCTGGACTATAGGATCCGAGTAGTTCAAGGGTCCGGCAATTATAACCTGGAAATGGACATTAAGGATACATTAAACTGATTTAAAGATTAATTTCATTCATAAACTCACCTGCATTCTGTAGGGAAACTCGCGGTAATAGTCATCCTCGCGGTCAAAGAACTCCACCGAGTAAGAGTCCTCCCTGGATAGCTTGCGTCGTTCGAGTCCCTCCTTGATTTGGGTTATGCCATAGCAGGCACCAACCAGGTAGGTGGCAAAGGCCAGGATTATAATGCCTTTGCACCATTTGTTATTGATCACAGCAGCCAGTTTGTCCTTGAAGAAAGCCATGAGCATATGATCCTTGTTGTCAATGGGATTGTCAGGATCCTTGGGGTCGATGCCACCCGCCATTATTGCCTTGTAGAGGAAGTTGCGCTTCTCTGTGGAACAAATCGAGTCGATAGAAAGAAGTGTGGTGAGACAAGTTCCCATTGACCTCAATTGCGAACGGCTCTTGTTGTGCCAAGACAGTGACTAGTCTAGTTGCTTTGCCTCATGATCAAGTTCATGTTGCAGCTGCTGGTGTTAAGCCATCTAAACTAAACCTCGATCCGGTTGTGGTGCAGTCCAAGTAGACCTTGCAGCAAAAAGCACTAGGTTTAAATCACCAAGAGCATTTTAAACTCTATCTGCTGGATACTGACTCATTCTTAGATCTTCTTAAAAACATGTTTTTCTTTTTAAATTATTTTCACGAGTCTCGGAACAACAATAGCTTCTCTCACAATCACATCGAGTCGAATCAGTTCACTCACCTTTAATGGCTACCGACATCGGCTGGACTCGGCATCCAAAAATGGAATGCAAATTCTGGCGCTCTCTGTACCCGGAGATGGCCATGCAGGCGGCAAAGAAGGTGATGTGCCACAGGAACGTAAAGCAAACAGCAAACACTGAGTACGTGCAGAAGATCCTCACCGATCGGAAGGGACTAATGATGCCAATCAGGAAGGAGATGAAGTCGGTGACCGAGGTAATGGTAATGGAGACAGCCGCCTCCGACATCATGTGACCCATACGCTCGGCCACTGGCATTTTGGACTTGGTTCGCCGCCAGCCGGCCAACATAACAAAGGTGTCATCAATGCCGATGCCTATGGGAAGGATAGGGAATTGGTTACTTAATGAATTTTTAAACAAATGTTTTACCTAAGCTTAATTATTCTTAAAGCTAGGTAAAGTGAGTGTTAAGTGAAGTAAAAAGCTTTAAAATACAAATATTTATATTCTTTGTAATAATAACCATAATTATATAGCTCAAATAAGGCTTTAACTCACCAATCATCAGGAATGGGGCCGCCAAATTAATGCCAATAAACTCAATGCCACAGTACATAGCCAGGCCAAAAGCAGCCAAGGTGGCCATAATGGCTGAGACATTGCCCATGAGACCCAGGAAGGGCTTAGAGCGAACGGCATCTCCCATCATGCAGGTAATAATGCTAGAAGTGGCAAAAAACATGTTACAATTAATATAAAACTTATTTTAAGTTATCCCAGACTTACCTAAACAACCCCATGAGCAGGAATGTAGAGCTAAAATAGGGCACAACTGTCTTGGTATTCTTCTCCAGTTCATGGTCCAGAGTTCGAGAAGCAAAATATGAGACTGAGATGTGCTTAAACCTTCCAGAATCCTCTGCTTGTCCAACGACCCTCAGGAAGGTTTCCTCCCATTCCGCACCCCTGGCAAGAATTAAAATAAAGTTAGATTTATCACTTTAGGGTTACATTTAAGACCTTACTTGGCATCCTGACGTTTGGTGTCGGCTGTTACAAAGTACACCAGCTGTATGGCTGGAACACTGATTACCACATTGTCTTCGGTAAGCTTGGTGCCGCCAAAGAACACAGGGAATAGATGAGCATCCCAGGTAACTGGATTGAACATGAAGGGGAAAGTCAGATTAAGCTGGCCGGCCTCAATCTGAAATTAGGAAAATAAGAATTATTACAATGAAATCTGAATATCTTGTATATATTTCAGCAGAAAGTATAGATTATAATGGTTGCTACTGGAAATAAATCGATTTTCAATTAATTGATATTTTCTAAAATCGGAAAATAAATCGATTAATATCGAAAAATAAAATAATAACTTTTTCGATTAAATAAATGATAGAAATTTTAATTTAAAATATATAGAGGATATATAATGGTACAGCTGGAAGTAAATCGATTTTCAGTAAATCGATTTTTATTTTAATTCTAAAAACAAATCGATCAAAATCGAAAATTTAAAAAATACCTTTTTCGATTAAATCGATTCTAGAAATGTAAATCAATGTATCGCATAATATCGCATAAAAATCCGATTAATCGTTTACAAAATCGATTTTATTTCAAGCTCTTGTTACTCCTTTACTCACATCATCCATTAGCGCATCCAGGTTAAGGATATCGTTCTCGAAGCACTCGCTCTCCCAACGGGCGCAGTTATCCTTGTAGGTATACGTATCCCCATCGTAGGTGGTGGTGGCATTCTGTATGAGATCGTCCAGCTGGCGCAGCTCCTGGAACACCTCGCGCCTTATCATATTATCGTCTCCATCTTTCGTTATCACAATGACACGACCGAATCGACCTGGAAAAGGCAAACCAACAGGTGTCGGATTAGCATCGATGACCATGGTTTTAAGCGCAAAGAGCAAAGCACAAACAATTAGTGGCTTTTGTGGACTTAGGCTCGAAGGCTGACTTTTGCTCCGGCCGCTGCCGTTACCCACACGCCGAGACGTGACAATAATTTTAATTGATTTCCATTTGATTGTAGCTTTGCCCGTTTATTTCTCACTCGTGTGTGCTTCTGTTGTTTGCCCGTTTATCGGACTTCCACTTAATATTAGACGATTGTCCCCAAACGTTATTCGAATTTAATGCGCCATAACCAATGCAGCTTTATATACTATACTTGCGTCACAGGTTTGGTGCGGCTTTTCATGCCCAGATATTTTGTATATGTCGACACTTGTCTGCAATAAATATATATCTATATATCCAAGCTACTGTATTTAAAATTATAGAGATTGCGGTACTATAATTATTTTTTGTCAACTTGTTATGTTATTAAAAAACATTTTTATGAACCTATTGATTTTAGTGAAACCAGAAAAACTGTTGGAAAATGGTTCCGTTTTGTTTCCTTGGATTCATAAATTCAAAATTATAGACATACCTTTACTACTGTTATTATTTCAACTTGCTAACTTGATAACAAATATTATCAAGGAGTAAACCAACGTTTTTTGTGTAAACAGAAGAAAATGTTTGAAAATTTTAAATTTTCTAAATGCGGAAAATCCGGTACGTTCGTTACGTAAACTCTGAGGTCTGAAAATTGGTTTGCCCGGCCTTTTCTTTCACCGATAGTGAAAACTCTTTTGAGGCTTTGACAAGGGTCTTCGGCAGGGCAAAAGTTCTACTACATTTTAATTTGTATGGTCTAAATTAAAATGAATTAAGTAAACTAGCTCATAGCTCTATAATATATATACATGTATAAAAGAAATTATATAAATATATCTACTTTTTATACCCTTGCAGGCTATTTTAATTTCAGTCAGAAGTTTGCAACGCAGTGAAGGAGACGTTTCCGACCCTATACAGTATATATATTCTTGATCAGCATCAACAGGGGAATCTTGCTAGATATGTCAGGAAGAAATCGATTTTTTGGGAATTTTTGCAAAGAGGGGTTAGATCATTAAAATTTTTGATTTTGATAAAAAATTGAATTTTCAAAATTTTTAAATGAAGTATGCAGATTTATTAACTGTAGAAAATCTTGCACAGAACAGTTTTCCGATTTAAAATTAATGCTCTTTTGGCCGAGTTATGATATTTTTAATTTAAAAAAAACAAGAAGTTTTTTAATATAAAAAATCCGATTTTATAATACAAAATAATATTTTTCTAAGTCAAGGAATCATTTCCGACCCCATAAACCATATATATTCTTGATCAGCATTAACATGCGAATCTTTCTAGACATGTCCGGAAGAAATCGATTTTTTGGCCATTTTTGCGAAATTTGATAAGGGGTTACATCATTAAAATTTGCAAAAATGGCCAAAAATTTTGATTTCTTAAAATTTTAAATTTGGTATGCAGTTTTTTTAAATTAATAAAAACTAACACAAAACTGCTTTCCGAATCGAAATTAATGCATTTTTGGCTTAGTTATGAAATATTTTAATTGTTACCTGCAAGGGTATACAAACTTTGGCTGGCCAAAGTTAGCTTTTGTTTCTTGTTTTATATAAATATATACCTAAGCACCACTGTCATCATAAAACTTTAAATAATTAAATAAACAAAATATGTTAACCATTTACCCCAGGGTATTAAAAGTTTCAATGATGCTTCGGTTTTAGTTGTGAATGAACTTGACATGTTTTTTTGAATATTTTCTGCTATCAATAAACCATTCACGTTTTTGCAAGCAATTGTCAATGAAGCTGGTTTTATGGATTGCAATACGAACAACCCAGAAGTGTTTCGAATCATTAAATCCATCTCTTCAAAAATCTCAACTTAAATCGTAACAATTTATTTGTGTTAAAGCAGGAAGTCTCAACCTTCCGGCAACAGGATCAACAAAAACAATTGTCTATTACAGTTACAATTCAAGTTGAAAAATTATAGTAATAATAATAATCCAGCAATGCTTTTATATAACATCTCTGTGGCTAAATTAATTATTTTTGGCATTTCTCTTGATGTGCTCCATAAACAAATTTTCCCAAAAGACCGGGGAAAGTTGCAGCTTGCAAGCGGTTTGGTTTGCTTTTTAACAGACTCCGTGGCACATTTGGCCAAAGTGCAACCGAAGCGGAGCACTGAGCTTCGTGGCTAACTGGTCGTAACCGAATAAATGTGGTCTAGAAAAAAATAAAAAACAAAAATCCCCCCAGCAGCGATCGTATGGATGTGCTGCTGCTCGTATGTATCCACATAGCTTCGCTCATGGCCGCCTCACAGTCGCTGGGTTTTCGTACATATCTCCAGTCAAAAATAAAGTTCAATGATGAGCGAAATCGAGGCATGGATATACAATATTTTTACATTTGATGCCACTTGAGTTATGTACATATGTGCCTGCGTCACAGCTTGATGCACTGATCTGCATGCGTCTCGATCCAAGAACTGCTGAATGCACATCGAGTGCAGTTTAGGAGAACGGCCTAAAGCACTTGTTTCACAAGAATAATGGCTAACGGCCTTTCGGAGCGAAATTGCTTGCCAGCAGCACGCAGCAAACATTCGCACTGCTCACAAATATAAAAAAAAATAATGGTTTTTGCAGTTAGTTTTAGCCTATTCCACACGTTTCTCCCATCATTCCACTCAGCAAGGTCCGAATTGCTTCATTTTTTGCAACAAGCATTTAAGACCGGCTAAATTATGCAATTTTTAAGGGCCCTACTACTAAGAGAGTTGATACAAAAAAAGTCTGGTACAAAACGGTTGAGACTGAGCCGCTAGGTTACGTATGTAACACAAAAGATACAGAAGGATGGTGTGGTTGAAAAATATTAATCATATGTTTCACAACATGTTGTATTTTAAATACCTTTAGAAAGAATAAAAGTAAGTTTTTCATAATTATGAGCATCATCTACATTTTTGTTGGCAACAAGTTCCTAGACACATTTCTCCTTATTGGAATTTTTCGCAACATGTTTCCAGCAACATGCTGTCTTTTATCTGCCTCTGTTTACTGTTTAATTGAAGTTTTTTTTCATAATTTTGAGCTTAATTAAACATGTGCTTTAAATACTTTGTATATTTCACAGTTGGTAACACTCGATTATAACTTTTCTACCTGTTTTTGTAGGTTTTTATTTATTAATTAAGCTTTTGTTTGTACGTTCTTCTCGCTTATCTTTGAAATTATGTATGATACACATGATTTTGGAGTTTGTGTTTGCAAAAACGTATTATAATAATTAATTTATTTTGATGTTATTTTCATGGGTAAAGATTTTCCTACTCGTATTTCGGCATCTCTCTGCTCAAGTTTTGATGGCACAATGTCATTTGGCAATTATGCGGTACTTTGCTTAAGTTAGCTAAAGCCATTGTTGTGGCTGCTATTATTATTAATGTTTCTGCTGTTACTATTATTGTAGTTTGGCGATGCTAGTTGCTAGTGGTTGTGGCTTTGCCTAATAAACCATTTAGCGAAGTTAATAGTCTGTAAAACAGAGTCGAGTTCAAGACCCCAATAAATGCTAAGATATTGTGTCTCCATCTCGGTTGTGTGCTGAAATTATTTATTGCACATACACTCGAACCAAAAAAGACAAAGCAGAGCAGGGCAGGGCGGAGGCGAGGAAAGGCAGTTGAAGCGCCGGAAAGCCCTCGGGTAGCCTTCTCCTCCTCCGTCAAGGTGCAAAAAGTGTGGCAATATGAGCAGAAAATGCTTGCCACAATCGCATACAGGTGCATAAACATTATATTTGCCGCCACTTACCGGGTCTCGTTATGCGTCCGACATTGAAGCGATGCGTGTAATTCACTTTGAAGTACTGCTCGACGATGGCGCGCTCAGTCTTGCCCTCCCCCGCAATGGGTGAGAATAGGTACTCGGGATCGATTTGATATTTTAACTGCTGGTAGCTGTGAAAATTAAGGATTAATGAGTTAGTTTCTAGACCTCTCAGCAATAGGCTTACTTACCCCGTCATACAAAGCAGCGTCAGCAAGACTGGAATAATTATAAAGTAGCCCGGATGCTTGGCTATGCAAACACCTAGGTGATAAAAGGATTTGTTTAGTGTCTTATCGACACACGATATGCCGCAGGTCATCTGTAAAAGAAATTAAGAAAATTAGCGGAAACTCCAAAGTTCTTATTAACAAATAAAGCAATAGGTTTGTTTCCATTATCTAATATCACATTGAAGCTCTCTAATGTGCGGTTTGTCTGGCGAAGGTGAAAAGGCGTGATGGAAGTCATTATTATATATATTTATATCGCTAAATGTCTACCCGAGTGCTCGTTGCCGTGTCTGTTTGGCTTTGTTCATCTACACCTTCAACTTAAACTTTAGACACGCATTGTTTTTGGTTGCCTCACTTTGCTGCTGTTTGCCTAAACGAATCTCAGCAAATGCCCTTGTTCAAAGCCCCCCCCCTTACTCCCTTCCGAACGTCAAAGCGATAAGAAAAACAAAAATAAAAAATTAAATTGTTGAACAACATTAACAAGGAAACTCCTAATAAAGTACATTAAAATGCTTATAGAAGTCAAGTACGTTGGCATAACATTTTATATGCTCTTTTTACATGCATATGTATAAAAAGGTAACACAAAAAATCAATAAAAATATATCGGGTACAAAATATTAAAGCCGCCCCCGGGTGGACTCGAACCACCAACCTTTCGGTTAACAGCCGAACGCGCTAACCGATTGCGCCACGGAGGCCATGAAAGCAGCGAAAAAAGTACCAAACTTTACAGCACGCGCAAAAAAAAGGGCCCAACGCAGATAACAGAATAAATAAATTATAATAAGAACTGCTTAGCTGCTTAATTTGTTAGAGTTTTCAAGAGCAGCGGCAGCGCAGCAACCCCGAGCTCAACTAGAACATCCGCCAGGGGAGAACCAGCTGCCTCCGTGGCGCAATCGGTTAGCGCGTTCGGCTGTTAACCGAAAGGTTGGTGGTTCGAGTCCACCCGGGGGCGGAATAACTTTTTGTATTATTATATTTATAAGTTTTATTTTGTTTATAAATCTTACTTATTTTTAATTTTTATTAATTTTCTTATCATTTTAAATTATATTATTAAGCACTTAATGTAGGAAGTATTTTTTAATTTGATCATATTCAATATCAAAAACACTTTTAAATGTATCTAAATAAGAGTTTCCTTTGTCCTTTAACATTTTATTTAAGACCTTAACAACCATTAAAAGTATTTTAAGTCGAATTGCGAAACTTTAATTACCTATTTCCTACGTTTCTTCCCTCTCTGTCATGCTCAGACAATCAATTCTCAACACTAAACATCAAATATTATAGAAATTATTTATTTATTTTACGTTCCATACAAGCTGCGCAATTTGTTTGGGCCATTTATCATGCCAGACACAGAGCCAATTTGGGCTCACTGGCATTATGAATGTGCCTGGGCACAAAGGAATATTGTACTTAACATGAATAGAACATTAACATTGGAATAAGCTCGGGGTTCTGAAAGCCACAAAATGGCAAAAAAACATAAGGAAAACAATTTAGACAAATGAGAAACAAAAGCAGGCAGGTGCAGGTGAAGGTGTCATCTCTCAGGCCTCAAATTACTTGACCAAAAAATTTCGATTTGTCGAGCGGCCCAAAACCCGTTAATACATCCAAGTTTACTTTCCATTTTTTCTGTTCAGTATTTTGCTGTAATGGGTTCAACGACAACTGACGCTGCACTTTTACTAAAATGTAACAATCTTGTTTTGCTTTTCATACAGTAAACACTGGCATTACAACATATGGCTAAGCCCAAGCTTAAGCCCCACTAAGCACTTGGCTCGCCAAATTGAGTCACGGCGTTGCCTCAAGGTTATAGCTTTGGCTTCAGAGCCCAACTCTGACTCCAAAAGCCAACTTCAGGCGGTTGGCTATCCGTTGACATAACGGTTCATTATGTCAAAGTGATTTAAAAAAAAAACAACAACGAAGTGGTGCCCTCTCTTTAGGCTCACAGCTGTGTAGGTTTTCCTGGTTTACGGGAGGAGGTGTCAGTGTGTCAATATTTGGGTTCAGGTACTCGGAAAAGCGGTTTTATAAACGTGTTAATTGGTTTCAAATGGGAGCGAGAGGAAAGACCTCTGGGGAAGCTTTATCATCATTTCCTTTTCCTACCAAGTTCCAAGTTATGCAAAAGTTAAAACTAAAAATATATTTTTAACAATATGGCCAAACTCTCATAACAAACAGCTTCCGCTCAAAAAGCATTAATGAATTTTATAAATTCATGTCGCAAGTTCGATGGCACCTGGATCCTCCCAAGACGACTCATCATTAGTTTTCATAACCACCTGGGCCCCCTATTTATTTTTTTTTTTTTCTTCAAAATTTTAACGTCAATGGTTAGTTTTAAAAACTGGTATACAAAATACATTTATACGAAATGCAATATCATGTCTTTTGCCCGAATTGTGGCTATGACTAAAGCGATTTTCGGCGTTACACGTTATGAAACTGAAATCCCAAAATTGTATTTTTTTCGATTGGCACCTGACTCAGAGAGCTGTGTGTGTGTGTATATGCAGGTGCCTTGAACCGGCGCAAAATGCGTGCCAAGAAAACCGATTTTACACCCTGAAACCTGTCAACTTGCCCATCCGAAATATGGGAGTTTTTTTATTTTTTGTGTTGGCTTAGATTTTTGCATAATTTGTAGGTCAAAACGGCTTTGATTCATGGCGAATTCTTTCCCTTGGCCAACCCAATTTTGTGGTATGAATATATTTATGAATTTAATAGTCAAGAGATTGCGAATGTTTAGTCCATGGCAAAAAACAAAAAGCTTTTACATATGGCGCGAGAAAGTTGTTGACCAAAATGAGTTTGTCGCTTCAGTCTTTTGTTTTCTTGTTGTTTTTACTTTCTGTGTCAGGCAATTTGACGTTTTATTGTTTGGGCTTCTGGCCGCTTTGGCTTTGTTGTTGTTGTTGCATTGCTGTCGAATTCCCCAAAATGGATGGCTTTCTGAAAGCATTTAAAAACCATGGATACACTTTCGGGTCAGGTAAAAGTAGAACTCCTCCGGATCTCTTTTCATAGACACCCCTAGAGATCTGACACATTTCCAGCACTTTTACGGCTTTAATCACTGTTGTTTACGGCTTACATAACTCCCGATTTCGTCTCAGCCTCGTTGAGATATTTGCCCAGCCCGTTGGTGCCTGGTTTAAACAATTTATATAATGCATATTTACTTGGCAGCAGAAGAAACCGAAGGAGGTGAAAAACGAGCAGCGCAAAAATTGATTGCGAGGCGAGCAAAACGATTGCAAAAGTTTTGGCGGGTTTTTCTTTCTGACCGCGTCAACAACTTTCACTTTTGTGCGTTGCGGTGGCACAAGGCACAAAATGCCAAAGAAATTACAAAATTATTATTAATTAATATTTAAATATATTTCGGCATATTTTCGAATTGTTGTTTTCCTGCCAGATTGTGGGATTTTTTGCCTTCAATTAATTTGGGTCAAGTCATTGAAGTAGAACGCAAGACCAATATCTGACCTTAGCACGTGGGCGTGACATATCAGCTGAGATTTGTATATAATTATTGTTGTCAACCCGGCTTAAGCCGGTTCAGTTTTTACCAATAAGTTTTTAGTTATCTGTCTCTATTATATTTATATATTTTTTTGGCAACAGTTGGCCAACTGGAAAAGGTCTCTTACAATTGAAATTGGTTGCCTCACAAATGTTTGCAATGAATTTTAATTAGTTTAGCTCGAGGCTAACAAATTAACATTGAGCACCTTATGTTAATTATTTATGGCCGTTTTTTCGGCTAAGTAAAGGGTGGGCAACTCAATCGACAGGGGCCCTATCGAGGCTATCTGATTGTTTGTAAAGGTAATCGCTGCACTATGGTGTCTAATTTACTATAAAGCATTTAAAAACGATAATTGAAAGTCAGAAAATTAAATTTAGAAATAGAAATCATTTTCCCTTGGCTTAAAAATACATCTTAGTTTTAACTCACGAGACAATTGTTTAAAAAAATGTTAGCAAAATCTTTAAAAAATATTTATTAAAAGGTGTCCTAAAATTCTCAAGTCGGGATTCTGGGACAAGGATTTTGTGTCAAAACTCAAACTATTTATGTAAATTCAAGCCTATTTAACCTAAAGTTAGCAAAGTCCTTTTACAAAAGCTAATCCTAACTGTAAACTAATTTAATTTAAGGCCAAACAGTAAGCTTCCAGCTATATTTTGTTAGTTTTAGTTAGTTAATATTGACATTAAGAAAATATTCTAAAAGACACCATTTAAAACTTATAGGTTTTATCAAGAAAACTAGTTATATTTCAAATTAAGCTCCTTTTAAAATTAGATTTTGTTTTATTGAAATGTCTGTTTAAGTATCATTAATTAGACTTAAACTGAGAGATACTATCAATACTATCAAAGTAGTTTTTATGAAAGGGGAACCTGGAAACTGGACAAAGTCATAGGACAGTCAGGTTCTGCCTCGAGGTAGAAGCCACCAAAAAAAAATTCACTTTCTACTTTTTCCGCGCCTCTTGAATGGATTGGCTTAACTGGACGGGACGGGACTGATACAAGCCGCATGCGTTCAGGCCTGGAACTGGGTCACAGTCGTGGCTTAAACACACACTCAACCAGCGAGGTGGCCGCTTTCAATTTGAATTCAACTTTTTTTTTTGGTTTGTTTGCTTTGCATTAATTAACCATTTACCTGGCAAGCTGCTAAGGAAAACGATTTTAATATCGGATTTATCGGTGCTTTGTTTAGTCACAGATCTTTGGGTCAGTGGAGCAGAGACCAGAGAGGGCCCTAATCTGATTTCATTCATTAAAAACAGCTTAAAAAAGTGATTGAAATCAAATTGAAGGGAAGTCTATCAAGATATTCAGTCATTAAACTAGTTCCGGTAAAGGCAAGGCATTCTATTTGAATTTGAAATACTCATAGAGAATATAATGAATATGTGTATAAGTAGTAATTACTTTAATCTTTCTATCTTTAACTAGAACTAATGATGCAAAACCATAACTTACACTTTCTCGATCACTTTTACTAGCTTTGGATTCACTTTCCTTGGATATTAGTTAATTATGGCAGAGTTTTTTCAGCCATCAATGGAGAGTTAATAAATCAACCAATTGACACAGAGTCGTTGACGGGTAAAACTTTGAAATGCCAAACGACAAAAAGTCTAATACCAACTCTCTGAGAAGAAATGGCGGTGAAGAAACGGAACGAAGAGAGAAGCGAAGAAAGAAAAAGAAAGTGCAAGGCTGATCACATATCATGTGTACAATACATATATATACAAATATATATATTTGTATATATTTTTATATATGTAGACACGTGCATGCTTAGCCGTTCGTAACGGCATCTCTGGACTGAAATCAGCTAAGAGCTTCTGGTAGAGTTGGCTGGTCCTTAACCTCGCTCAAAATATGTACTTTAAAAAATTCCAAAAATATGTACCAAAAAATATCCAATGATTCAGCTTCGTATCTCTGATTTTTTCATAACATTCACTTGCTGCTAATCATTTGTGCAAACATTCAATTATAGTTTGGCTTAAAATTTAGCAAATTATGAGCTGCTTGAAGAGTTGCTAATTGAAAACTGTGAACGACTTAATGGAGCAATAAAAATATATATATATATGTATGGCTATCCCGTGGAGGTTGTGTGCATTGAGCAATTTTCCCAGGGAGAAGGAAAATCACATGGAGAGAAACCAGTTCAAAGCAATTACAGGCGACTACCTGCTGTTCAATCGAAAATGACCACCAAGATGGGGGTGAAAATTGATCTGTAGTCCTACCTGAGCCCTTTCTTGAGCGGAGACTGCAGGGTTCAACTGTACGCGGTGTCCACTTGAATACACAGAGAGAAAAAATATCAAGGAAACTTGTGAACATATCCTAGGTTTATTTATATTTAAGGGTTTCCTTTTGATGGGTTGGAAAATAATTTTTAAAAAATTTACAAAAATATACACAACTTAAAAAATCTATTATAATATTGTTATAATAATAATTTATGCATAAACTTTATTTTATCAAAATTATTTCCTATAATTCTTTATAATCCATTTATAATTTTTCCTTCTAAAATACCAACAAATTGAATTGAAATTAAAACCATTTCAAAAAGATTACTTTGGTCTACAAAATGTATAAATGTATAAAATGCAGGTGGAGGCCATTATATTTCATTTATCTTGTTACATTGCAACCGAAAGCTATAACCTTGGGCATAATGAGACCCACCAAGCCAAAGACCAACATATGAAAATCGAATGCGCCAGATGAGCCAATCAACCGGTTTCCTTTTTGCCGCAAATTTCACTTGAACTTTCATTAACTGGGCCGAGCAACTCCCTCTGTTATGTCCACGGTCCACGGTCCAGTGTCAGGTGGTGGTGGTCCGATCTGCCAAACCGGATCACCAGAGTTCAGTTCATTTATGTAATCCACTCTTGCTTTCGTGCTTTGAGCCCGAAAAATGCAAACGGTGGAATTGGGAATTGGGTATGAGTATCCATAATCATCATTGGCCAATGGTATTTTCCCTGGCCATTTTCCACCTAAAGGGGAATTCCCTGGTTCGTGTCCCACTTTCCGCCGCCACTCAGGTGTTTGTGCTGGCTTTAATTGTAAAAACCGTAATTGTAGCCGCTCTCAATACCAAACTGCATTAATTTGTCTGTCAAAAGTCTTGAGTTTCTTTCTTTGCATATGAAAAACCAAGCCAAGAGTGAAGCAAGTTGGACTTGGCAGATTATGGCGGCAATTGCATTTGCAGTTTGGGAAAAAACTTCAATTAAAATAAACCTGTTTAATCAGTTCATTTCGGGGGTACTTGGATCTACGTTAGTAGTTATTCGTTTGATAAAATTCAAACTTAAATTTTCCATGGAAATTGTTTCTTCTTGTTTGCTTAAGAGACTTTATAAAGCCTAATGCTATGAATTACTGAGCTCAATTTACTTCTGTTTCCATTGTGGCTCATAATTTTCTACACCGCAAAGAATCAGTTGTAAATTCATCAGCCTTAATGAAGGCAAATGTCCAACCAGCGAGCAGTAACTCAAAGCATAGCAGAAAAATAAAAGCACTTCCACTTTAAGTGCTGAAGGTGCAAAATTGCTTGAGCTTAAAATGATCTTTCAAAATATCATTAAAATTAATGTCACCAAATATGTGCATAAATCAGTGTTAGAAGTCAAATAAACTTTTGAAAATATTTGATGGTTTTTCCGGAGAAACAAGATGACTGAGATGAGCTTTTAATATATTAGAGAAGAAATTCTAAAATAGTTTTCAATAGTTAAATTGCTTAAAAAGAAGGTTAAATGCTATAGATCTTATTATATTTATTGATGTATTTTTTATTTCTATTTTATAATTTAATTTTTTTTTTAATTTTTATATTTATTTACATAATTTTCCTTTTATTTTCCATACATCTTCCTTATCCCACAACGCACTTTCTATCCCACATTCCAAAACGCAATTGTTGCCGGCATTTATTCAATTTCAACCCCTAAAGCCTGAGGCACCAATCCCCCCAAGTGGGAAAAAACTACGACACAAAAATTAAGTATTATTCAGGATGCTTTTAAATGCGAACTGAACTCACCTTGAATGCGTTATAAAGCCTATTTCTTTTCCTATTTAATCCAAGAGTTGTTTAATTTTAGAAATTCAATAGAATTTTGTAAAGAAGTAAATTTTTCTTCAGAAGTTTCGTTGCACTTGGACTCTGCGTTTTATGCCTTTTCACAGAAATTTCTCTCATTAATATTTAAAAAATTGCACACTCTTAGCACTGCTTTCGACCATCACCATCATCATCATTATTATTTGGATCATTTCACGGGGCACGGAAGGGGGGAATATACACGCCGTCGTCGGGCAACCGTAGGCTTCGAGACCAAATCACGGACTGAGAGATCTCGGAACGCGCCTTACGTTACGGCCTACGCGGAGGCTGCGCAATTTTCGAATTCAGTGACCGTTAGCGTTCTTTTGTTCGCAGACAAATTAACTTTGATTGGGATTCTCGATGTCTCCGGAGAGAAAGAAAGGAGGATAGAAGAAAGTTGCGCGCACACACGTCTGCCGCGCACCACGTAACAGAATGGAATGAGGCCTTACGTCGAGAGCTCAGGGCTCTCGCTTCGCTCAATCGTAGCTTCGGCTCAATCTCAGCTTAGCTCACCTGTTGCAAGCGCTCACTCTCTCTCTCTCTTTATATTTTACTCTCTCTATATGTGGCTCTCGCACTTACAGCCTCTCTTGGCCAGGTGAGTGCACCGGTTTGCAGCGGTTCGCATGAATTTCGGGAAAAATCCGTGGCTCTCCTTTCCTTTGTATACCTGTTTTCATCTTCAGGTGGGCCTTGCGTTGTTGTTGCTGCAGTCTGAAGGTCGCATTTTCGCTCATTAATCGCCGCTTTCTTCTGCGCCTGCGCAAAAGATTTTTGTGGGAATTACCATCGCGATTTCAGGTGAATTTTAGACAGGGCTTAAAGTGGCCCAAACGCTGCCGTAAAACAGATGGAAAGGTGTTTCGCTGGAAGAGACGGCAGAAAAATAAATAATGGTGTATTGGCATATCCAGGAAATACTAAATACATAGCTTCCTGAACCTTTAAGTAGATTAAACTTCATCCAATATAGAATTATAATTCGTTAATTTAATTCTTAATTTAACCCTTAATGCTAAATGGGCCTATCAAAATTGGATTACTTGTCTTTTTATACCCTTGCAGGGTATTATCATTTAAGTCAGAAGTTTGCAACAACGAAAGGAGACATTTCCGACCATAAAAAAATATATATGTTTATTCTTAATCAGCATCAACAGCCGAGTCGATCTAGCCATGTCCGTCTGTCCATCTGTCCGTCTATCTGTTTCTACGCAAACTAGTCCCTCAGTTTCAACTTTACATATAGTCTTTTGAATACTCTTACTGCTATATATGTCGAAACGGGCCGAATCGCACGACTATATCATATAGCTACCATACAAATGATCGACAAATTTTTAGAAAAGATACTGTAACTTGACTGTTTTTTAACATATTTTAATCATTTTTGAGATATAGCTATTTTTATTAATTCAGAATTTTAATTTTATGAAAATCTGACGGCTATATCTTATAGCTGCCATAGGAACGATCGGGAAATTTATAGAAATAAGTTATAACTTCGTTGTTTTTCAACGTATTTTCTATTTTCAGATATGATTCTCTTTTAATATATAATACCAATCTAAATTTTCTTAATTGTTTTTGAAAAACAAAATTTTATATATTCTTATTTAATTTAATTTTATAGGGTAAAATTATGTGAGTTCTTAAAGTTTAAATATTGTTTTTCTTGTTCCTGAAATAAGTATTTTTATTGTTTTTATTTTTCTGCACAACACATTTCGTGAATCAAAAGAAATCATTGTCAGGCTAGGACTTTAACATTACATAAATTGAGTAGCTCAGTCAGCACATTTTTCGTCTTGTGTGTCATTTTGCAGGCAAATTTGTCGTAAAATACTCTGGAAACTATGCGACATTAAACTAATTTTCACAGAGTCAACTTAATAATTTTCCCAAACGAATTTCTAAATTCCAAATGGCAAACAGAAAAGTTTCGAGAGCAAGCAGTTCGAGAGGGACAGGGACACAGATATTACGGCTGAGAAATTTAAGCGGAAATTTTAATAAAAATCATTTAGAATTTATTTCAAACAGAGAAAAGTGCACACAAGGGACAGTGAGCTATAAAAATATACATATAGTACACATGCGCAGTCCCAAACAATGAACTATTGGAAGTATACGGCAGTCGCGAGCAACGCTCCGATTCTCCATATCCATCTATACAGTGTGTGATATATAGTATCAGTGAGTGTGAGATATAGTAACCGATGTGGGCACGTTCAACTCGGCCGAGGAGGAGGATTGGATTGGATCGGCCCGGTAATTGAGCTGTGTAGGTATGTATGTACATACATATAGCGCACAGCTCTCGCCGGGCAAATGCTGAATTCAATTCTGGGCAATCAAGCCAGGCGATCTATATATACACTCGAGCGCTGATTCCAGCATTAATATTGTCCAAGGCGGCAGCGTCGGCGATGGCATTAGTGAGACACTCCTGATTGGCTTCTGAATGGGCATTGGTTTCCCTTGGCGGTTTCTTCTGTAGGGTCTACCGTCTGTAGACTGTACTGTAAGGGTCTACCAGGGATGCACTTGCTCCTTATCAATAAACATTATGATAACCATCCACTGGGAGGATGCTGAGGGAACTTAAGTAAGGCTCTTGTGCCTTTGGGAACTTTAAAGGATGTTCTTAGGTTGTCATAGAAATTGTTATCTTGTAGATAGATATTTTTTAATAGGTCTAATATCTTCTAGAAACATATGCATATGTTTTTAGTCTTTTAATTTCTCTAAAATGATAACCTAAATTCTTTAATCAAACCTTAATTCTATAGACATCATAAAGTAGGTGAAAATCTGTTTAACAATTGATAAATTTAATTTAATTATAATTTTTTTTATTGTAATTTCCAGATTTTTCTTATGGAAGCTACATATATATAAAGGTCTGATCTTTAAACACAGTTATGTACATATATATCTACATATATAAATTGCTTTTTATGGCTTAACTTGTCCCAAGTAATTTGTAAGTCTGATTGAGGTTCAAGTTCACATAAGCATTATTAGTAGAAGAATTTCCTCTCCTATTAAAAGATTCTCAAAATAGATTAAATTTGTGACTTGACAACCACGAATGCCTGTTAAAGGAGTGGTTTTTGTGTATGCAAATTAAAAAATTAAAAAAGTATCTACACAATTTCATGTCTTTGGGAGGAAATTCAATGGAAACTTTTATAATGCCCTGAAGATATAGTACACATGATATAATAATTATATTATGTTTGAAAATTCAAAAAATTATTTTAAAATCTTATTAAATAACTCTTTTCCGGTCATTTCTATATAGGATTGGTATACTTTTCTGACCTAAATGCTCTAAATTTATTTCTATTTAAATAAAAAACTTTGAATATACAAATTTTTAAAATATTGATTCAAGAAAAGTTTTTTTTTTTTTTTGCTTTGAAAGTTTATTTGTTGCTTTTGTTTCATTTTCATTGTTTCTCAATGCGCATCCCAACACTGCTGTTAATACTTTCCAACACTGGCACTTGTCATGCGCAGGCGCAGCCAAGTTCAAGTGGAAAAAGTTTATTTCTTCATTTTAATATTAAAAATTTGTGATAAACTTCAGAGGCTATTGTTCCGATGGCTCTATCAAGCAACTTCAATTTGCGATCCAAAGTGCTGGTTCATCCATTGGTGCTTTTTCAGATCATCGACGCCTACGAACGGCGTCCCAAGGATGCCAACCAGGTGAGTTTCAAATGAATACTCTTTTTAGGGTCTGAAATTCATCGGGATTCATTCCGTGGTTTAGGTCATTGGCACTCTGCTGGGTCGCTTTAATAACAAGCAAGGTCGCACCGAGATTACCAATTGCTTTTCCGTGCTTTACAAGGAAAATGGCAGCCGCCTTGAACTCAATCTAGGTTATGCCACGGACATGTTAGAGCTGAACCAACTGAGCTTTCCCCATGAACGCGTGCTCGGATGGTTCGCCACCGGGAAGGCTGTCTCTCGATCGGCAACGCAGCTCCACGACTATTATGCCAGGGAGTGCTCCACTCGTCCGCTGCACTTGTTGGTGGATGCCGCCCTGCGGGGTCAGCGACTCTCGATGCGCCTATACTGCGGCGTAGAATTGGGAGTGCCCGCTGGCACCAAGGGTCTCATGTTCTCCATGTTACCCATGGAATTGGCCAGTGGCAGTCCCGAATCGGTGGCCCTGCACCTGATGCAGAAGCAGAGCCTGCAGTCGGGCAACAAGCCGGTGGGTCCCATCCTCCCGGAGTTGGTGCAAGTTGTGGATGCCACGCGAGATCTCCAGCAGCGTCTGGATCTAGTGCTGCGCTATATTAACGATGTCCTGGCCCGGAAGAGGAGGCCAGACAATGTGGTTGGACGGGCTTTGCACGATGCCTTGACCTCGGTGCCCATGGTGGACTCTGAGAACTTTCAGCTGTTGTTCAATGCAAATGTTCGGGATATGCTGATGACCATCACGCTGGCCACAATGATCAAGACCCAGCTGCAGATTGGCGAGAAGTTATCCGGAATGCAGGATCAGGATCTGGATGCCCAACACTCAAAGTTTAAGTATTGTCAATAAAGAACTGCCCTGAATCTGGGGTATTCCCCGTTTTGGAAGTGAAAGCTAGTGCCACTGTGTCTTATCAATTATTTACAGGTCAATCAACAATCGACAATTCTCCCCTGTATTTGCTTATCAGTTTAAAAAGTTCACTTTCTTTTTTGCATGACTTATGATTTCCTATGACATCCGCTTCTCATTAAACTTGAATGTTGAGATAATACAAAAGTAGTGGCAGGTTATGTTATATTTTTAATATATTTCAAAAATGTCTTAAGGATGAATTCATTTGGTTGTAAAGCAAATATCAAAGTAAACAAAATACTGAGAAATGGTATAGTCAAATAAGGAGTTTGAAAGCCTTTATTCTTATATTCTATGGCTTTATATGAATAACAAAAACACCCTATTTAAGGTCATTAATTTTCCACAGTATTTAATATTTGATGATCTCATAAAATTGATATTTCCATCTGAACTTTAGAATCTAGAAATGCCCTGATAATGAAATCATGTCGAAAACAAATGCTATTGCTTGAGGCTTCCCCCGTTGTCAATCTATATCCGAAACCCTTTAGAATGATGCAATCTCATAGTAGTTTTTACACCATCCAGTTCCTTTTGGCCCAAACTTCCCTTACCGCTGGTCAAAACCCAATTTGGCCAACTCCTTGAGCCGTTTTTGAGGGCCTAAAGTCGGCGATGAATACAACAACAGGCAAAGAAAGACAGATCTGGGAAATCCGAGTCCCGTCCGAATGTTGATAAGGTGGCATTCTATTTCGGGGCGTGGTGGTAAACAGAGGTGGAGGGACTCCTCCGAGATGCGGACCCCCCAAAATAACGTTGAGATAATAAAGGCCTTATCGCGGTTCAGGGACAGTCGTCGGTTGTCCGCCAGGGTAATCAATTAGCAGACACCAACTGCAAATTAGCAAACGTTGACGTTGACCGTCGATAGTACATATAGCCCCCGCCCTTTTCCGTTGATGCTGATGCTGATGCCTGAGGCCGGAATCACCGGCTGCCCCTCCCCTCGGTCAGACAGACGACTTATCACTTATCGCTCAAGTCAAAGCCAAGGGCTATCGGTGCGCCCTGTTCGGCCCCTCCTGATAGCCATCGCCAGCGGGCAGCGCTCCGATCGGAGCGCATCGGACCGGACCCTCAGACATCCGAAGACCCCTGAGACGAGCAGACGTTCTAAGTATTAGATCAGGGACGGACTACCCTTACATAAACCCCAAAATTCGAGTGTCTATAATGCCAAATTGTTGTGTCTTTTGTGCTGTTCCGGCTATTCAAACTTGAGTTTGTAGAAAATACACCAGGACTACGCTCAGCTCTCAACCGTTGCCGCTGGGTATCTGTTTCCGGACCAGTTCCAATTCCCAAGTATTATGTTCTCGCTGCTACACCACCCTCTTGTCTGCCGCTGCTGTTTGATAGAGCAGCCGCCGCTCTATCACAGCCTTCACGACGCCTCTAGCCGCCTGGCCGCGGAGCTTAAGGCCCTGGCACCCAGCCTGCGCCTGGATCCTGGCGACAATCTCACCGATGTCATCTGTGAGCTATGCCTGCGCCGGCTGCACGATGCCCGTGACTTTCAGCGCCGCTGCGAGCAGTCCGAACAGGAGCTACGTTCGCGTCACGAGCACTGGAAACAGAGAGTGGAAGTGGGCGACGTCTTGGCCCTGGACGATGTGCTTGAGTGCCTAGAACGAGAGGTGGGCAGCCTAGAGGGACCAGCAGTGGCCATTCCCCTGCAGCCTAGCAAGCCAGTGGCCTACGTGGCGCCGCTTATGGAGAGCGTGGATTTTGGTAAGTTTTGGAGAAGTTCCTCAAATAAATCCTATTTAATTTCCTTGCTTTTTTCCTTAGAAAACCTGGACTTTCAGGACAACTCGCCCAATCAGTATGAGGCGCCAACCTTTTGGCAATCTACCCTGGATGCGGGCAGCCTCAACACTCCGCACCATCAGTCGGAGCCCTTCGAGGCCGGAGGTGCTCAGCTGGAGCAACCCGTTTTGCCGGAGACTCCCCTAGAATCAACTCCAAAGCCCAAGAAGAAGCGTACCAAGTCCAAGGCCAAGCCCAAACCGAAGGAGGACAGGACTGCAAGCTCACCGCGTTCCCTGCGTCAGTGCAGCGAGTGCGAGAAGAAGTTTACGCGAAACTTCCAGCTGAAGCTCCACATGACCGCCGTGCATGGGCAGGGCGAGCTGCGGTACCAGTGCGACGAGTGCCGCAAGACCTTTGCCTCGCGGCACAGTCTGCGTTACCATGTTAAGTCGGTTCACTCGACGGAGCGTCCCTTTGGCTGCCAGCACTGCGATCGACGCTTCGTCTTGCGCACCCAGCTGATGTCCCACCTGCGCACCCACACTGGCGAGACCAAGCCGCGCATCTTTTCGTGCACCTACTGCTCTAAGACCTGGCCCACTAGGTCCGACCTCCGCACCCACATGCGCTCTCACACCCCAAACATGGAGCGGCCCTTCAAGTGCGATCGCTGCGAAAAGGCCTTCTTCACGCGGGGACACCTGAACTCCCACCTGCTGGTGCACACCGGCGAGAAGCCATTCGTATGCGATTACTGCGCCAAGTGCTACCAGAGTGTGGGCAACCTGAACAACCACATGGTGAAGCAGCACGCGGACATTATCGAGGCCCAGCTGGAGATGGAGCCCATCGAGAGTTGATCCAGGTCCCGAACCCGGTCCTCGAGGCTGCATCAAGTATTAGGGCAAGGGGCACAGCATAAGCCCCGGATTTTATTTATTTTTAGGTATATATTTCGTAAAAGAAAAAGAGAGCTCGTGCTCCTCGAGCAGCTCTGCTTTCGAGAGATGTTTAGCTTTTAAAGAGATTTAAGAAGTATCAAAAACATTGCAATAAAATATTATATTTAAAAATCATTTTTATACCCTTGCAGGGTATTATAATTTCAGTCAGAAGTTTGCAACGCAGTGAAGGAGACGTTTCCGACCCTATAAAGTATATATATTCTTGATCAGCATCAACAGCCGAGTCGATCTAGCCATGTCCGTCTGTCCGTCTGTCCGTCTGTCTGTTTCTACGCAAACTAGTCCCTCAGTTTTAAAGCTATCTGAATGAAACTTTGCATATAGTCTTCTATATGCTCTCACTGCTATATATGTCGGAACGAGCCGGATCGGACGACTATATCATATAGCTGCCATACAAATGTTCAATAAATTTTTAGAAAAAAAATTATAACTTAGCTGTTTTTCAACATATGTGCACTATTTTTTACATATGACCATTTTATATTATTTCTGAATTTTGGTAAAAATTTTATGAAAATCAGACGACTATATCATATAGCTGCCATAGGAACGATCAGGAAATTAATAGAAAAAAATTATAACTTCGTTGTTTTTCAACGTATTTTCATCTACTCTGAGATATAGTCTTATTTTATTATTTCAGAATTTTGGTACGAATTTCATAAAAATCGGACAACTATATCATATAGCTGCCATATTAACGATCGGTAGATGTAGATAAAATATAAAGCTGGGAATGCAAAACTGTAACTGTCAAACTGTAAACATAATAAGTATACGTAGGTAAAATGTAATGAAATAATATCTGCAAGGGTATAGAAACTTCGGCGTGCCGAAGTTAGCTTCCTTTCTTGTTCTCGTTTATATTTAATATATAGAAAAGCTTTGAAGCATCCCTAAACTTAGGGGTATCCAGCACAAATATAGTATAAACATGATGTACGATCACATAGTAATTTTTTGGTAAAATGTAGCTCTTGTTATGCAACAACAAATAAGAAATGTTTGCCATTTCCTTCACATGAAACCTCTTTGTTCCATTTCTAGACTCATCCATTAATGAATAATAAAATGAAATTATTATTGCGCAATCGAGGATTTGACAAACATTTCTACCGGCCGGCAAGCAGTCTTATCTCCCGTCTCAATGTCACAATCCGCAAGCATTTTGATTGCCAAACGGAGCTTCCAACAAATATTGGCGAGGTGAAAGCGGCAAGGCGGAATAATCAAAACCAAAGGTGAAAAAAATCAAATAACAAATTTAAAATAGAAATCGTGCAAAAATGTGGTATAAAAATAAAAACAAAGCTATAAATGGGCTGTGGCAATGCATTCCCAACGGAACATATTTGCAGAGCATCATAAAAATGTATTAAACTAAAGTAATAGACAATATTAATGCTAAATTTATTTAATTACAAAAAAAAAGACAAGAAAGCTAACATTAATAAAAATTAATTTTGTTATTAATTATAAAATTTTTTAAAATTAAAAAAAATACTACAACAAATAAATTACTATTTTATAATTTCTTACTCACCGTTTGTTCCTTTATTCTTATTCTTATGCTTAACAAATACATTTTAGATCTCATGGGGAAAATATTTTAGGGGAAAAATTTAAACAAAATTAAAAAATTTCAAAAATCTTTATAACAATTTCTTACCTAATGTGTATATTTAACTTGAATATTTTCAGCTTGAAAAATTACAAAAAAAAAAAGTTTTAAATAATATTTACCTTTATTAAAACATATTTTTAATATGAAACACCAGAGGCGTATTATTTTAGTATTTTCGTGATAAATATGTTTACAAAAATAGAATGAATATGAACCTATAAACCTGAACGTATAAAGGACCCTAGTATAAGTTCAACACTCATCTCGGGTGCTTATAAAACCCAATTCAGGGCTTATCGCTGGCGGTCTCCGTCTATCTGCACGCGTGAATGGGTATGTGCGTGTGTGTGAGCTTATTAAATACAATAATCAAATATGTATACAAATCATTAATATTAAAAAAAGGAACGATTGACAGAGAGTGGAGGGCCACAGCAAGATTGTAAAAAAAAGCGCAAGTAAAATTTTCCAGTATATTATGCAAAGATGGATTACCTTTATCTGTTCACGTTTCCACAACTTAGTAACAAAGATCCCTATGCTTGAGATTATAATGGGTTAGAGATTGGAAATCTAAATATTTACAGGCTGAAACTAAGAGGAATTTAACTCTACAGTTCCATAATTAATTGTATAACTTTAATAGAAAATTTTTAATAAATTTAAATTGCAATCAAAAGGGAATTAGGTGTTTTTTTATGTTGATAAACTCGTTTAAATATAATGAAATTATCTATGAAAAATTATGCATAAATAAATATGATATAATTACGCATATATCTTGAAAAATAAGAAAGAAGTATGTTGGATTTTCTTAACTTTTATATTTATTTTTCGATTTAGAATTTTAGCATTTCCAAATTGTATAAGATAAGGTTACTGGGTATCGTTGCCTACAAGTTCAATATTTTCAACTAATTAAATTATTTAAATTTCACTTCCAAAGTATTCCAAATCTAGTGTTTTTCCTATTCACTACTAAAGTTTAATCTCAGCTCAAGCCAAACTTAGACTTGGTGGAATTATCAATGGCTACCATCAGTGCCCGACTGTCTGACCGAATGCCGAATGCCGAAGCGTGGAGCTTGATAGACCCTATGTACTCAAAACCACTATAATTACTATATTAATGCCCACTGAAATTTGGCTGGTGCGTGGAATTTGCTTTAATTGGACAACCCCAGCACAAACAATTATGCACTTGAGCTGCTGAAACCTTAAGATCAGTTAAGTGTTAATCTAATTAACTTTGATAAAGTCGGTTAAAGATTGACCTGGGGTAGTGGCGACCGCAGGCCTGCCTAGGTCGTTGATAAGTCTGATGGATGTGATTCATGCGAAACGATAACCTTGTTTGAGGTTAGGCTACTTATATGCTACTACAAGTATATATCTCCTGGCATTTCCGCAAGTCGGGCTTTACTCACTCGTAATGTTTACACATCTGGAACGTGATCGACGAAGCCTGCGTCTCCTCCAGACATTGACCCAAATCAAGGCTTTTGTCTCAGGCTCCATTGGAGTTCGTTCTTTCTTCTCCAACCCCACATACAGACGTGAGGTCTCAGATTCTCAGTTTTAGGGTGGGGTTCAAAACCACCTTTCTTTAAACAACGATCGAAGCGATCAATGATCCAAAGAGTAAACAATCTTTGTTTTGCGGTTCTGTGGCTAATCTTCCAGATTATGTTGATTATTTAAACGTTGATTCAGTTAATTTTAAACCCCATTCCAGTTATGAAAAGATATTATCTCTCGAACATGGCTAAATCGAAGCGGCTGATGTCTCCATTTGGAAATTATGAAGTAAATCTATATTTTAAGGCAGTTTATTTACACCAACAACAATTTAGTATGTACATACATAACATTCTTAGAAAATTGTACCAACCAATTTTCAATCCCTTCCGGAGTCGCGATCGAACAGAAGACGTCCCAGCTGCACCTGCTGCTGGGCATAAGAGTTAAGTACAGGTGGATCATGGCCTACAGAGCCACCGATACCACCACCTTCCGGAGTGACCGACTGGCGGACCAGCTCCCTTAGACTCGCCGATATTTTGGCGGTGCGGAAGCGATCTTCGTGACGTCGCTGGCGACACTCGACAAAGCGCTGCGATTGATGACGCTTGCGCTGTATGTCCTCGCGAAGCTGATCCCTACGCACCCGCTCCTCCTGCTGTCGTTCCCGCCAGTGCTCCTCGTGCTGGGCCTGCTCCACGAAGTTGTCATGCTGCAGCCGCTGCAGGTACGCCTCCAGCAGCTGGCCGCGCAGCTCACCGGCCCGCCGCAGTCGCTGAGTAAGTCGCATGCAGATGTCACGCTTGCGCAGCGTCTCGTCCAGGTGCTGCTCCTCCTGCTGAACCGTTACCGCCTCACTGCGACGCAGCTCCTCGCAACGTCGCTGACAAAGGTTCAGGTCACGCTCTAGCCGCCTGGCCTCCAGTCGCTGCTTAGCCGCTGCATCCTTGGCATCCAGAGCTCCCCGCAGACGCTGTAGCTCGGCCAGGTCGCGCTCTGCCAGGGCCTGGAGCCGCGCCTTGGTCAAAAGGTAGTCCTGGAACTGCTTGTCATGCACAGCCTGCTTATATGCCTCCAGTTGCTCCACGCGGAGTAGCTGCCGCTCTAGACGTTCGTTCTCCCAGTATTTTCGAGCCAGCCAAGCAGTCTCCTTGTCGGCGGCCTGCTGACTACGCTTACCCGCCATCCGATTGAGTATCTTCTGGTCATGGCTGGGCACCTGTTGGAAGGCAGCACGCACTGTCGGGGCCAAACACAAGTTGGCCATTGAGGCGCAAAGCGAACTCTTCTTGGCTTGCTGCGAGCCCAATGGCACCAGGGCCATGTTGTCCTGCGACTTTGACTTGGCCCTTCCAGTGATGGACAGGGCGGGAGCGTCGTTTAGGGGGCCTAAAAATTGCTGTGTTGGTAGTAAAAATAGTAAAATTAATAAGAAACGTAACTGACTTAATATATGTAAAGATTTTCTAAATTTATTTTAAGCACAGGACCTACCCCTCCTTGTCGTACTTACTTTAAGCATTGTACAATCCCTTTGAGCACCGCGCCTTTGACGTGTTTGAGGCTTGGGCTCCACTTTCTGGTGCTGCTCCTTTTTCTCCCTGGACTCACTTCTGTGGCTGCCCGCGCTTTTCGACCGCCTGCTCCTGCCAGAAGAGGTGGAATCCCTTTTCAGGCAATCAGCCGATCCCCGCCTGCTCTGACCACCAGATTTCACCTCTGTGGGTGAACGGGAAGCACTCCTTTGGCGCCTATGGCTACTGTTGCTTCTTCTGGTCTTGGCACTCTCCCGGCACTGTAGTTGCTCTAGGACCTGAATATCCTTGTCCAGCTGCAGCAGCTCCTTCAGACTCTCCTGCCGCTGAATGCCCGAACTGCTGCTGTGGGAGCTGTAGCAGTCGCAGTGGCAGATCTCACAACAACTGTCCGCCAACTCGAGCTCCTCCAGCAGCTGCAGGTGCTCGGCTTTCGACTGGCCATT